CTAAAAATAATCCTAATGAAAGAGTTCAGCATTAAATCTCAGGCATATTAATATATGAAAGTTTCTGAAATTTGTTGTTATATTCAATTTAAAAAAAAAAAAAGAAGTTTTGTGGTTTGCTCATTATAATTACTTTACAATTAACCTTCCCAGCAGTGGCATTAGAGAGCAAATAAATCCTTTTAATCAGTTAAGCTTTTCATTTATAGATTCAAGTTCCATCTTGAACGCTGTTACGTATTGTTTACCTCAATTATTTTGTCAATAATGTGTGCACAATTACATTAAAAGTTCCATAAAACAGCTTTTAGAAAGACTTCATGAAAAAATCATGCAACTTCCCCCAAATCACTTTCCAAATCTAATATTCTAATTTGAAATACAAACTTGTTGATCAAGAAGTACAAAAGCAAAATAGAAAAAATAAATTACCACTTGATCTAAATCTACTGAAGTAAAAGATCTGAATTCAATGTCCATTTAAGATATGCTACTGATTAAGAAAGTAGTTATCATGTTGGACTTAGTATTTACATAATCTGTTCTCAAAACTTTGAATCCCTCTGAGATTTTAGAGGAGTGGCCATCACTCACAGAAGTTTAATAAGGCATGAAATCTGCAAAAAAGCAATTTCTTTTTCAAACACTACATTACCTTTTTTATGACGCAAAAAGTGCCCAAATGGACAAGAAAAAATAAAGTCTTTCAAAATGATCACAGAATGCAGTTATTATTCTACTAGTTGATCAAAAGCAACACCCAAATACTATGTGCTGCTCAGAAACTTTCTTTCATTAAAAGAAGGAAAAATACGAAAGAGAATATCAGTGCCGTATGTGACTGCACCAAAACTGCCCTATTATTACATAAAACAGTACATAGGAATACAGAATTTGGCCTCAGTAGATCGAAACAGTCTAAGAAAGTTAATGTTCTGTCTGTAGAAACTGCCTGTGCCTTATGCTTTAAAGACTGATGAAGGAAAAACCTAATTTGCCTGAACAATTCGGCAGTGTGATACACACAAAAAGGAATAGAGACAATTCCTTCCAAACGTTCTGGCCACCAGCCTGCACCCTTCAGCATTAAATGTCTCTATTAGTACTTAATTTATCAGGTTGGTATTATGGACTGTATTGATAATTAGTTACTAAATGTTTTAGCCCACAATACACTGCATTTCCATATTTTTAATAAAATTTCAGGTGCATTACATCAAAGAACTCTTTATATTATTGAAATTTACACTGGAAATTTATTTGTTCTTCCAAAAAAAGGAAGACTTTATAACTGTAACTTTTTAGGATAGATATCTTCTTGGTTTAGGCAGTTTTCAGGCCTGTATCAGTGGTTTATATTTTTAGATTATGAAGACCTGTAGTTGCAATACAATACTTTAAAGTTTCAAATAAAAGCCTCATTTCAACCAGCTGAATGATATGGATGTGGTATAGCCCTTTAGTATACCACATCCACATATATCTGTAGTATAGGAAAAACAGCATGGATGCATAAGTCTTCTGAAACAGCTCAATGGAATCTTTTAGCTTATTAAACATAAAATTGTATCTTTTTTTTTGTCTCCATAAGAATATGGAGAATAAGAATAATTCAAGTTGAGGATTAGTTCTTCAGTAGACCCTCCTGGTATTATGTCTTTGGCATGGTCTAACAAAAATCTCACTGTGTTTAAGTTGTTACGGATTTGGGAGGGTTTCAATATATAAAAAGCACCATAAGACCCACACTGACTCTTGACCGATTCTCTTATCATTAAGTCTAATTTAAAACAGCTCTAACTACCTTCATATAAATTATCATTTAATGCAATATATGCATACTCAAAGAGTAAAGCCAGAATGCTTTGGAATTATCAAGGCAAGAAACTGGAAACAGAAGAAGTGAATACTTGCTTGTGTGGAGGTTAAGAGGAGTTTGCGGATGTTACAAATTACTACAGGACAGCTATTGCAAATGCTACATTCCCCTGTGTCTGCTCTACACTTTTGTAGCCTTCAATGAAAATCATTGAGCTACATTCGAACACAAAGATACAACTATTTGAGAATGCTCACAACCTGCAAAACAAAGGCTGCAGATGCAAGTAGTTTCCTTGTGTAAAGTAAGACAGTCTACAAGAACTGCTTCTTGCAGTTCAGCTTTCCTTATCATGCTTTCATCAATAAATCAAGCTTCATCTCCCTCTTATGGCTTAAGAAGCTGAAAGATGTTGCATAAGCCTTTCATTTTCACAGTCTTGCACATATGCTCAGGCACCCTATGAAGGAGATTAGATGGTCTGCACAAGTCTTACTGTGTGTTTTAACATGCAGGTTTTGTCGATAGATTTCTTGGTTTTACTTCTCATTCAGCTAACAGCAATCTTCACATTATGTTTATTTTACCCTTTCTGTTTTGCAGCACAACAGGCCTCTACAAGGTCATCACTAAAGGTCACATAACATGGTCACAATGACTTAAAGTTGCAAGGAGAGAACTTGCAAAAGCATCAAATATACAATCGAATATATCAAAACAAATACACCAAATATAGTTCAGATTCATAAAACAATGACTGTTTTATAGGAGTTCCTTTTAGGTAGTATCTCTTCAGAGGCTCATAAATCATCAGTGTACATTGAATTTGAAATGAACACGAGCACAACAGATAGAATTATGAAGATTTTTCTTAAAACTAAGTATGTAAGTTGCACACACTGTTTTAAATGGCAGCAGACTTAGCTGTTCATTAGTTTCAAACTGAAGTTAGCACTTGTAACTTGCTTAAACTTTCCCAAGTCTTACTGCTCAAAATAGACTGTTTTGATAATCATGTTATGTAGCTTTAAATTTTACTTTATTTTTCTAGTTAATTTTACTTATTTGTAGAAAATATTATTTTTTAGCTCAAGCACATTTTCATTTAAGAACAGTTTTTGCTTAATAATTCCTCATAATACCATGGTATTCCATTTGACATATAAAACTAACAGATCTTAAAGAGATGTAATTCAACCTGTAAAGAGCCTATACTCCTTCCTTAGGTTTAACTTCACAGTAATACAAACCTCATTATTATCAGGTGGTGTTTTAAGACTGCCTTCTAAGAAATCTAAATAATATTTGTTCCAAATGTATTACCGCCAACTGTATCACTTCTAAACTTGATTCACGAAGTCATATTCACCTCATACAACCTCACTTCACAAAGTCAAGAGTTAGACCAAAGATAAATTTGACTTAGACCAAAGATAAATTTGACTTCTTGTTTTGTTCTTACTCAAATTACAAAAAGGAACAGTAAAGAATACATAATGATATTCAGTTACACAAGAACAAAAAAGGGAAAGCAAGGTGATTAAACAGCAAGGTTTGAAGTGGAGGACCTAAAGTTTAGAGCACAGATTCAAGAACCTAACAAATTTGTGCAGTCATATCAGATGACACTGATAGGTATAATCTGAAATACAGTATAGTCTAAATTTTCAACACCAATTCTGATGGCAGAGCTTTTGTTACCTTTCTTTCAGAGAGACAATGCAGGTGCTAATTCATTTTTTAAGACAAAGACCCCTAAGGGACCTTCAAGTTGGTCAACTGAAAGACTGCACATTCTGAATTACCATTCACATTTGATAATTTTGCTCAGATTTAGCAGATGGAAATGAGAACAGCTGTTTGTAAACTGGAAGTAATCTTATTTATTCAGATTTACACACATGCAAAAGCCACTACACCTATCCATGTGTTATAGGTATTTTGAATACTTGAAAATTCAACACAACCAAGCCACATAAATAGCTAAAGTGTATCTGTATAATAAAACAACTATCTAAACAACTATGGAAACTGAGCAACTCAGTAAAAAATTAAACGATTTCCAAAGAATTTCCAAATTTCAAAGGGAACAAATTATTTTCTTCCAGTGCCAGAAGTGTACCACATGAAGAACACAGCAGTTAACCTATTTGAGACATTGCAGAAGAAGAAAAGCATATTCAAAGGTCCTAATATCGTAAAGAACAACATATTTCTAAGCTTTAGTCTCATACTCTCATACTAGATTGCGTAACAGTTCAGACATCCCCTCTTATCTCACCTCTGCTGCTGTAACAGAAACAACTCTGAAGGCAGACACATAATCAGTAACTGGTGTACGAGCCAATACTAACACTCTAAGGCATATCCCAAAACCCCACAAAGTGACAGCATAGTCCAAGGAACTCAAGCTGAATATTATCATACCGTAATAATTCACTGCACAAACAGATATTGCACTACCATCATCTTATGAATGTTTTTCATGCATAGCCCTATATAGTCTTACTTGTAGTGACAAAGACATTGCAGCCTTCATCTGACAGTCTTGTTTAATTATGGGGTTGAAAAAAAAGTCTCTGCACAAAGCACGGATGCATTTTTTTTTAATGACTGGTTACATTAATGTTTTCAGTGATTCTGATCAATGTTTTTGAATTGCCCAAGCATCTGGCCAAATTCAAAACAAGAAAGTTTGCTATAAAATCCCAGATGTTTTAGGAAGGAGCTCATTATTTTCAGATCTACCAGACTTCATTATTTACATGGTTGTTACCCTACCCTCTATGCTATATAAATTATATTTTCTATCTCCATAGTCTTGCCTAAAAGACGACATGTGGCACTTTCATTGTCCTCTGATTTGATGACTCACAGGTATCTTTTGAGTTCAGACTATTTTTTTATTAATTTATCACTATAATACCATAAAAAAATTTTGTACATAAAAGTGAAAGTGAAAAGTTATTGTGCTAATGCATTTCAGTTGTTTGCAGGCTAAATGAGTGGGTGACATTTACTACCAAACAAACTTATTTTATCATAAATGCAATCCATTACAACAATAATGGAAACATCATACTCCTTTTAACATTTTGCTTGAGCTTTTTTCTGCCTGCTAGGAATTCTAGTTATGAGCTTCATTCTGCCAAGGACAGACTAGTCTTTTCCATACACTTACCCTCTGACAGCATGAATAAGCCTCAGTGATGGATAGGCAGTTCGCACTTTCAATTTATTCTTAAGGATTAATGCATTAACCCACTCCACATGCTTCTCTCCGCCTTTGACCATGAAAGCAGGGATCCAAAGGACACTGTCATTCAGCATGGATAGTCTATGCACAAATTTTTCTCTGTCACTCTCATTCCGAAAGCCTCCAAATGCTCTTTGTACAACTGATGGGTTCATGGTAATAAAATCAGATTTAGTTCCCACATCGGCAGCAAACTCCACCACAGGAGCTAGATTGCACCTGAAGAGGAAGAAATTAATGGAAAAATGAAAATAAATATGAAACATTAACTCAGAAAAATGTGTGCATGAAGGGAAAGCTGAAAATGAACACGCAAGTCCATTTCAATTTAACATGAGAAAAAAATACCAGTGATAACAGGTGTGATAACATGTAGCATTTCACCCAACTTGGACACTCATTAGGCAAATTTCTTAAAAACATTAAATGTACATAATGCTGCGAGAGAAAAAAGTTCTTTGTACATTTGAAAACCATGTGATCATGCTTTAAAACGCACTGACAGCTAGAGTAGCACTTATGAATAAGAGTATGCTTTCTTTTCATTAGTGTTCATTTGTCATCATGTTACCAACAGCTCACACTCTTAAAGGAAGCCACGCCAGCCAATTAAGGTATAATTTATACAGGTTAGTCATTGCACTTTTTTTTATAATACAGTATTTAAATATGATTTACATATGAACTTTACCCCATGTTAAATGAGTTTTTGCTATTTTGGTTTCTAATATTATCAGTGCGGCTGATTGGATGTTTTGAAACTCAGTATTTTCATTTCATTCAGAAATGAAATTTTTTGCAAAAAGTATTAATCTTTCCATTTTTCCTTGATGTCTCATTTTCAAACCTTGCTTAATTTTGCAGTAACTGTGCTTTTTTCTAGGCTTGAGAAAAAGGTCTCATCAATCCTTTGTTCAGCATAGTTTTCTACCTCAGTTATAAATACACACAGATATGTAATCACACAGAGGTAGCCTTCTCCACGGGCAGCACTGGATGCAGGTGACAAAATGCAATTCAGAAATTGTGATTTCAGTGACCAGTATAATCTGACTGAAGCAAATCACCTCCACAACATCCTCAGTGAATTAGCCTGTACCTGCTATGCCCCAAGTAAGTATCTTGACACAACAGTATTTTCACAATTTAACAAATTGCTCTGTTGGGGTGAAGGAATGTTGGGAAGAAGCAATGTTGGAACTAGGTCCTTCAAAACATTTGCATGTTATTGTATTCCTAATATAAATAGTATTCTATTAGTTCTGCAATTCTTTTCTGGTACAGTAAACTTTTTACTTAAGCTTATCCTCTAGCATCTTCTAATGGCCAGATCTCCAATATCATATAAAAATAACTGAAGTCATCAGGGCAATATTGATTAACACCAACTGATGACTTAGTCCGGATTGATAATACTAATTCCTCAGAACATAATTTTCATTCCGTAACTATCAGCTAAAGAAGTGGTCTTATCTTCTTCAGAAAGAAATGTTCTGAACACCATAAAGCCTATATATTCTTAGGAGATAAAGCTGTCCAAGTTTCTGATGACATGTGAGGCAGATGTAAGCTTTCTCAGGAAACATATTTCCATTCTTCAGTATCGTTACGCATCTATTTCACAAATGATCTGCAGGCTGCTAAGAGTAATGTTTTTTAGGAAGTGGTAGTTAGGGCACAAGAAAAACTCCCACTGATTTCAATACTGGCTTTGAAAATTGTTTCTAAAAACCTTAATGCATGAAACTATAACCTGGAATTGTCAGAAGTTTGGTGTTGCATAAAATCTAAAAATAAAAAAAAATCAAACCAAAGACTTAAAATCAACCAACCAAATTCACTGAATTATTGCTGCTTTTGAAAATACCTCTTTTAAGGGCAGACTGCACAACATAATGAAGGATTCTTGCACAGCAGGATTTTTTTCAGTAGTCACACGTATATGTACATGATGACATCTATTACTTACAAACATAAAACAGAGCTTGACATTGCAAATCCTGCTCTCTCTGTGTCCAACTTTGAGAAGCACCTATGTACCAACACCACCTTGTTTAAAAAGCTGTACGCCATACGCAAAGCGTGCATGTATAACATAAGCCTTACGGTTCTAATATGATTCTGTGTCGTTTGACAGCTCCTTTCTGATCTGCCAACAGCATCAGTGCCTAAATCTTAAACATGCATGCAGTTTGAAACAAGTATACAAATGTAATTTCACCCAGATCCTGAAAAAAATCATCATAGGCATATCAAATACAAGGTCTACCAACCCTGCACGTCATTACTGCTTTATCAGTAGTATACTTGATATTAAATACTGTATTTTAGAAGAGCATACAGCATAAGCAGTATAAATTCTTAACATATTGCATACTCAGATTTTTCAAGTATAACTTCAGAAAGTAATGAGCAATCCAAATGCACTCAGTAACAATGGGGATGTCTATGAACAGTTATTTAAAATATTAGTCATATTTTTCAAGCTTTAGTGTCTCAAATTAGACACCTGATTATAATATTAGAGGCAGGTAAGGCATTTTACTTTCCAAATGCTGAGCACCTCTTAACCTTTGATCTTTACAAAATTCAGTTATATAAATATGGATTAGTAGCAGTGCTGAAGTTTGAAATAATGTGATAAGTACGCCTGCACTTTGAAAGGCTCTGTTTTCAAAGAAGTAAATAGATGCTGTCAGCTGTACACTGCTAAGATTGTTATTTTAGTAGAATACGAATGCAAGACAAACTCTACACAAAGTTCTAGCTCTGTTAAGGAAATAAGCATTACTAACTTAGTTGTAGTTGACCAAGTTATAAAAATATTACCCTCATTAAGCCACTTCTCATTTTCTTAAAGGTTACTTCCTTCAAAGAATGATTCTAGTGCTCATTAAATTAGAAGTGTCAATACTGAGTAATTACTCTATATGTACCCACGAAGTTGGAAAATATAAAACACCTGCTAAAACCCATCAATTAAAATCAGCACATTCTTCAGTAGGGAGGAAATGGAGCAGTTATGTCAGAAGTGTTTCCACACGAGTTCAAGAGTTTATGTGCTAGTGATGAACTGTAACACTTACCATAAACTGCTAGTACCAGGTAATTTCTATTTCCAGATGAGTTCAAAAAAATTTTATAGAAAGGTATGTTTTAGGGCTAATAAAACTACCTGAGTATATGTAAATAGCTTTCGTTACCTGTTTCAGAACTTTTATCTTAACCTCTAATGTATCTTTACTCTATGTCATAGTTTCATGGATTTGTTGGAATTTTTAAGTTTACTTTGTTGGCAGATGTCAATGATCTCCCATCAATTCTCAGGACTCCTTCAAGAAAACTTTGTATTCAGATCATACATAAACATATACTTATTTTCTTTTAAGTCAAATTAAGAAGGCTATTAACTGAACAGCTTTGAAATAGGCAATGCTATACCCTTCCCTTGTTATATTCTTTAATTCTAGCTCATTTGTCGTAAGGCACAGAATGCCGAATATATCCACAACAGCGATGAGGAGGTGAGGGGGACTCTGGACCAGAAGCTTTACCATTCTGTGTCTAGGAATTTATATAAAAGCTTACCTTTTTTTTTTTTTTTTTTTTTTTCATTGCTTTTTAAAATCCACGCTATATCAAATCCAGCAGGAAGAATAAATAGAAGACTGTAATTTACTGAGTTTCCTCTTTCTCACATGCTGCATTATTGATACCTTACAACTATATGACTGCTTAAAATTTGACTCTAAAACAACAATTTTTTGCAACATACCATCATCTTCCATTCATTCTAAAATAACTTCAGTATTGCCTTCGTGTTAGTCAGCCTGCAAGTAAGCAGGCTGCAGGTCAAAGCTGAGCAAGACAAACTTGCTATGAGGTTACTAACACTGAGAATATGAGAACAGGTTGGAATTAACAGTAACATAGCACTGACGATTCACTTAAGCAATTAAGCAAACAGCTGTAAATATGAGCATTGAGAATATACATCACATTATATAAAAGTTTGTAAGCCTCTTTCTCCTGAGCCCAAGCTATTGACTGTTTCCAGAGAAAATGATGAAGTGCGGCTTGCCCCTTTTTCCATAAAAATTCACTGTCTGTGTATTCTTTAAAACTAAAAAGCTTATGGCTGTTTTTTCTATACCATTTTGTTAATCAGAAGCTCTAGCTCCTTCTTTTTTCCCTTGCACTAAACTAGCAAATAATTAGTTATTAATTAGCAATTTAAAAAAATTCAAAAAATATCTTAATTAGCAAGTAATTAGAGTCATCATTTGCTCCCTTATTTCTTTTAGGCACTCTTTATAGTATAAGTGTTCAGAAACTGGTTGAATGAGAAAAAGATTGGTACATTTGGGAGAGGGGGCTAGGAAAAAACCTAAGTGGGAAATGTTCATAATCTGTGTGACTGGTAGTATCACAGGCAATAATACGCAAGGTACCTCAAATAAATGCTGCAGTTCTTGTTCTTCCCATGACATCAGTCCAGCCCATATCCAAAACCTCAGTGCAGCTATTTCAACAGGGTAGTTAGTCTAAACTTAGTATGAGGCATCAGTTATATGATTTAGGTATTAAGTAAGTTTACAGGGCCACCTAATTTACATAGTATTCGTGTATAATCATGATACTGAAAGGCAACTATATATATAAAAAATATTCATAGTAAAAATGCAGAGGTTCCCACACATGAGCTTTCAGTGTGATAGCAAATTTTCATCAGGAACATGCACTGCAATGCTATCACTAAAAAGAGATCTGGGGTAAAAGGGAAAAATTAGTTCATGTCTGAAATACATGATATTTGGGTAGCTGTAGAATAACTGAGATCCTAAGATCCACAGACCAAAAAGTCTCAGTGATTGAAAACCTGCTTCTTCCACAACTGTCTGTTGCACATATTAGTTACAGGGAGATATATTAAGAAAAAGTGTGGGGAAGAAAGAACCAAAGTGCCAATGGCTGGAGTTGCACACCATGAGAAAAGACTGAAGAATGGAATAAGTGCTGCTATACCACACTTCCATCAAAGTAATCAACTCTGAGTTTGCTGTGACACCTTTATGGTCCAAACACATCTATAACATACTTAGCCTTTTAGAGAGCAGAGCTTAACAAAGAAAATAAGGAAATCATATTCACAAAAATACAGTCAAATGAGAAGTCGACAGAGTCCACAGAGATTCAGTTGGGCTTGCTTGGTCACTAAT